GAAAGAATGGATGAATGAATGTGTGTAGCAATAAATGAATGAGGGAATTAATGAATGCACGGGCGGTGAATGAATGAATGTACAAGTAAATAAATGAATGAATGATCAAACAAACGACCACAAAAAAAATATATTCATTCTATTGATAAACTGATAAAAAATTGATGAGAAAATTTGAAGGAAAGAATAAGTAAAGAAGAAATAAGAAAAATAGAGAAAGAGAGAGGGAGAGAGTGAGAGAGAAACTTTTATATTCTCGTGATGTTACACCTTTTTGACATTGTCATCATCAGAGTTTTTCATTTTTCATGTATCGATTTCGTCTGGTGCCGTGTTAGGCATGGTTTTCGGTTTCAATGAGCGAGTACAAATGAAAGACAAAAGGAAGAAACATAACGAGAGAGAGAGAGAGAGAGGTAGAGAGAGAGAGAGAGGTAGAGAGAGAGAGAGAGAGGTAGAGAGAGAGAGAGAGAGAGGTAGAGAGAGAGAGGTAGAGAGAGAGAGAAAGTCAATTTGTTGCACAACTCAGAAAAGAAGTTTGGCAAAAAAAATTTGATCGACAAATTTCGAGTTTAAACAAACAAAAAATTGAAAAAGAAGTGAATGAATGAATGATGGATGGATGGGCTGATAAATAAATGAATGAACAAATAAATGAATGAATGAACGAACGAACGAACGAATGAATGAATGAACAAATAGACAGAAAAATGTTGAAAGCATTAACGCATTGTTAAATATTTAATTACCTACAATAATAATAATTCATTTATATAGCGCAGAAATATATAAACATAAACTTACGAATGTTTTTAGTGGCTTTCCATCATAGATGACTTGTTTAGAGCTCATGACCATCTCGATGGTTACGCAATTTTTGTTGTTGTTGTTGTTTGAGACATCAACAGACCAGTATGACGATGTTTCGTTTGATATGGGACCAACTATCTTACGTCTGTGTGTGTATGTGTGTGTGTGTGTGTATGTGTGTGTGTACGTATGTTATGATGTATGTATGTATGTATGTACAAGTACATGTATGCATGCATGAAGGCATTTCTAAAGTCCAATTTCAGAAACCCCCAATGCTATTAGCAGCTGAATCAACAGACCACAACTCATATTTTGCCAAACTTTGTTCTATCACTAATGAACAAATCGATCATATTTTGTGGTGCAAAATTATACAAAGACGTATAATTTATTACACATAATTTAAAAATAATTCTCTTATCAACCCGCCACCAATGCAATAGCTTCAGTATTGGGCTCGCATGATCAACTCTACTACTCCCAACCACAACATTAGCTGCCTTGTTTTGAATTGACTGCAACATAAACAAATCACGCTTTGATATTTCGTAATGAAGACTCTTACAGAAATTCAAAAGAGCATGGATGAAAGAATGAACCAAAGAATGTCTTTGGTTAAAAATTTTCTCGTTCTTTCCAGCAAATGTAGCTGAAATGTACAAAATTTAAACAGAAACTTAATTTGTTGGTTCATTAACAGATTGGAATCCAAAATGAAAGCAAGCACAGTCGCCAAGTTACAAAAATTTATAACATCGTCATTAATTCAGAATTCTTATGGACTTAGCAGTTATTCTAGACAACTGTTGCTAGGTGCCTGTAGGTAAAATTTGTGTTTTACTATGGTGCATCTGAATACCATCTTGTGCAATCGAAACATCTATGTCAGACAAACAATTTCCGAGTCGATCTGCAACCGATCCTAACATTTCTGGCAAAGTTCTAGCTACAATCTGGATATCATACGCATAAGCAAAACCCTCAAAACCGTATCTGTCAATAATTTCAAACACATCCACAGCGTACAAAAAGAAGAAAATTGGCCCAAGAACGGACCCATGTGGTACACCGTTTTTCAGATATTCTTTGGTAGAAAGTACATCATTTAAAAACACCTTCAGGGATCTCCCATTAAAGTATGATTTAAACAAATATAAGATGTATGTATGTATGTATGTTAAAACCAAAACATGATGAGTGACACTGAACCGTCAAACATCAAGTAACAAATGGATTAACACTTTGATTTGTCGTTAATTGCACATGTCGGCATTTAGTTGGATATTTTCAAACACACAGACACGCAGGAACCGCTGCAACAAGCACGAAATGTGGTTAGTTGCGAAAAACAGTTCCCTGCTGTCGCCTGATCTGACGTTGATCATTTTACATATTGCCTTAAGAAATTTAAGGGTGTTGGGGTCCATCGGGCCGAGAACCTCGATACATATTGGCAAGAATTTCATCGAGGGGAGGGCGTTCCCATATTTTTTCATTTTCCCGTCCGCTGCCCTGGCCGCGGCGAAACCGCATTCTTTACTTGTCAGGTTTACATATCGTTCGGCAAGGGTGCTAGGGACCGTAACATCCCACGCCAAACATCTGCCAGCTCTCCAAGGTATTAGTGTGCATCCGTCCGGGCACCTACCATCATGCGCAGAAATGCCGGATGGTTCCTTGAGAACCGGGATTGAAGCCTTGGAGAAGAGCCGACAAATGTATTCGTTTAGCGCTGAGTGACGTAGTTGACGGCCCCCACCCAGGCGACAAACCAAACCGTGGTGCCCAAACTCGTCCGCCCCTGCGCCACATCGGAACGTGTATTTGTTTTGAATGACCAGGCCAAGTCTGAAGCCAATGGCAAATCTCACAGACTCGTCGTCAAGCTTGGTGCCCACAGAGGTGTTGGGCCACGATCTCAACCACCCACAGCTGGCAACGCTGGACATGGCCAACAAACGAGCGGTGGAAAAGTTGTCGCCGCATGAAGACAAAACATTTTGAAAGATTTTTTTATATTCTTCGTTCAAAATTTGGACGTGCGTACGGTCCCCCGGGGCGGACACCGAAGGAAGAATAACGCGGCACCGAAAAAACCGGTGGAGCAGGGAAGACTGCAGGTCGAGAGTGGTAGCGGCAGAAGAATTATAAACAACGGGAGCCAGCTGAACCACGCTAAGCAACCCCAGCCCACCAAATCGCACCGGCAGCTGAGCCTGGGACCAACCACTCTCGGTTACTTAAACATTGCAAATCGACGACAGGGCGGTGCGCAGGGCTCCGTCAAATTCGCCCAATTTAGAAGGGTCAATGTGTTTGGATGTACGCAGGAAGTACATCAATTTGGGCAAACTGAGGGCATTGCGGGCATTGTATGTATGTATGTATGTATGTATGTATGTATGTATGTATGTATGTATGTATGTATGTATGTATGTATGTATGTATGTATGTATGTATGTATGTATGTATGTATGTGTGTGTGTGTGTGTGTGTGTGTGTTTGTGTATTTGTCTGTTGAGGTGTATATGTGTATTATTTTCGTAAACACAAAAAAAAAATTATTTGATCTTCAAAATCCTCAACCTACTTTTGGGATTTTAGTTGTTGTTGTTGCTGCTGCTGCTGCTGTAGCTGCTGCTGTAGCTGCTGCTGCTGCTGTTGATGTTGTGGCGGCTGATGTTGTGGTGCTTTCTTTTTTCCCGCTGCCATCATCATCTTTGCAGGGTCTGAAAAAGAGTAAAAATAAATAAACACTTAGTAGTGGTAGTAGTAGTAGTAGTAGTAATAGTAGTAGTAGTGGTAGTAGTAGTAGTAGTGGTAGTGGTAGTAGTAGTATTGGTAGTAGTCGTAGTATTAAAGTCATTTATGTAGCGAAGTAAAAAAATTATGATGCAATCGAAATGAATAAAAATTGTTACCTGTGTTAGTTTGGCTTTGCTGTAGTGGAAGTGGAGTAAGATGTTATAACTAACTATGAGTTTGTATATATGTTTTTATGTATGTTTTTTTGTTTGTTTGTTGGTATGTATGTATCTTTGTACGTACCTGAAAATATTTTGAAACGATTTCAATAAGGTATCATTTGAATAATAGAAAAAAGTAAATGTATGTTTATAATGTATATATTTGAAATAAATATAATTAATTTATAATTTAATAAATTAATTCACGAAAATTAAATGCAAGTAAAAATGCCTGAAAGTATCTATACAATATGTGCTAAGCAGTGTTGAAAGAACTTTTTTCTTGAAATTATAAACCTTAAAATATGGATGTATGTATGTATGTATGTATGTATGTATGTATGTATGTATGTATGTATGTATGTATGTATGTATGTATGTATGTATGTATGTATGTATGTATGTATGTATGTATGTATGTATGTATGTATGTATGAAATTTTCCATATCAATAAGAAAGGCATACATTATATTTTTAAAAAACACACGAAAATGAAAATAATAAAAAATACAAAACAATAAAATAATAATAAAAATAATAAATTAATAATAATAATAATAACTGTGCTAGAATAAGAAGAAAATAAAACCACTTTCAGCTTCGTTAGAGATGGCTTCGAAAAATCAATGTAAAAATAATTATAATAACAATAATAATAATAAATATAATAATTATAACCATAATAATAATTATAGCTATAATAATAATAATTACAGCTATAATAATTATAGTAGTAATAATGACAAAAGCAATAAAAATAACGACCTTGATGATGATTATTATGGAAGAGTTGGTCGGTGGTATTAACATGCCGGCAATAATTGTCTTATTATTATTATTATTTGTAGTAGTTGTAGTTGTAGTCGTGGTTGTAGTAGTAGTAGTAGTAGTAGTAGTAGTAATAGTTGTAGTAGTATTAGTAGTAGTAGCAGTAGTAGTAGTAGTAGTAGTGGTAGTGGTAGTAGTAGTAGCATTTTATGAAAATTATATATTTGGGATGGTACGTCTTGCAACGTTTTTTCAGCATTGTCTTTTCTTCATTAGCATTTGAATTCACACACATGTACATACATACACCATGCGTACAAACATACATACAAACAAACACAAAAACAAACATACATACATCAACATTCACATACATACATACATACAACATACAATCAAAACAAAACACAAAACAAACATAATGTATATGTACGTACATACATATATTATAG